GAACAGTGTGAAACCAGAGGATGTGGCCATACACTGGGGGGATAAAGTAGATAGTAAATTTATTTCATGAGAACTTATGTTTACAGGGGCCAGCCCATGGCTCACTTGGGAGAGTGCGGTGCTGATAACAACAAGGCCACAGGTTCAGATCCCTATATAAGGGATGGCCGGTTAGCTCTCTTGGGAGTGTGGTGCTGACACCACCAAGTCAAGGGTTAAGATCCCCTTACCGGTCATCTTTAAAAAAAAAAAAAAAAAAAAAAAAAAAAAAAGAACTTATGTTTACCTACAGCACACAAACATTATATGGCCCCTAACATGCTACTGTTACACACTGGTCAGATTATTTAGCAGCCAGTTGTGTTTGTTTTTAATCCCCAAATGTGCAGCTGAAGACTTCACTAAAAATACAGCACAGGCTGAGGAGAGTGAGGCTGTGATCTAGTGAGGCCTCTTAGAGTGCTGGCAATGTACTACTTCTTGGTCTGAATGGTAGTTACTTGGGAGTTTACACTATAACTTTCTTATACTAAATATATGCTTTAGCACTTTCCTACATGAGATATACATGGGATTGGGCGGGGGGGGGGGGGGCACATCTAACTTTATCCAAAGCAGTGGACATTAGGGCAGTCACTACCGCAGCTGTACAGATTTACAGTTTCAGACTACACAAAGAATTAAAAAACCATGGGACATGGGACAACTGTGTGGGGGCCAAAATGCTTTAAAGAGCTTTAAAAGGGGCCAGCCCCTGGCTCGCTTGGGAGAGTGTGATGCTGAAAGAGCTTTAAATAGATCTAGCCTAACTTCCACATTTTGCAAGAAAGGAAACTAATGCCCAGATAAGTTATGTGACTCTCGGTTGGGCTAAATACTGTGTGTTTCCATAAACCACAATTTTAATTCTAATACTGTACATTACATGGTAGTTACCGGTAACCAAAGCTGACTGAAAAATGGGCATGTCCAGCCACGCAAAACTTTCAATATGCACATTTTGCCTTCTCAGGCGTTAGTAGGAAAGAGGAAGCTGGAAAGGGTACTGAGGAAACAAGTTCCCACCAGGATGTTTTGGACTTTGTGGTGTTTCAGAATCAGAGTTTTTCCTGACTTCTCATCTCCCACCCCCTTTGGAGTCAGGAGGCCTAACAATATCCCCCGAGGCAAAAACGCTCCATTCTGCCAAAAACCGCGGGTTAGTGTACCAACAAGCGGCAAACTGCAGGTGATGGCTAGGCTACTCTTAAAATACCCAGTGCAGCAAGGACCACCCTATCAACCCTTCCCGTGTTTTCTTTCAAAGTCCAAAACTCGCCTCCTTTCCCTCTCCTTTATCGGTCCGCGAAATAAACAAGCCTGTCAGCCTAACGCAGCGAACAAATGCGAGGTGATTGCTTAAGCTTAATTCAAATGCCAGCTCGGGCCTTTTGTTCCTCCTAGTAAGATTCTTCCTGGTTAATATTCTCGTCTCTTGATCCGCACTGGTATTATACAACGGATCGCCCTCGGCATTTACTGAAAAAGGGCCCTGGGAAGCCACTTCACTGCTTTTTGCGGAGGGAAAGAGATAGGGCTCACAAATAAGCACAAAAACGAAGGAGCCCAAAGGAGCAGCAAACTGGGGGACTCTGAAAGAGGGACCACATTCCGTCCAAAGCCTGACGCTCCAGCCGACCGGGATTTAAGGATGGCGGGACTCCCACTCACAAGTCCGCGAAGGCTTTTCTGTTTACTTGCTTTCTACCTCGGGTTTCTCCGTGAGAGAGTCTCACTCAGACTAGGGCCGCCTCCATGAAAATGCGGAGTGATCACGGGGCAGAGAGCCAGCGACTTCTCGAGCTGCCGTCCGGGCTCCCCCTCTGGTTTCAGGGTGACGGGCTCGAGGTCAGGCCGAATATTCCCCCCTCCCCCGCCGCCTTCACTTGGGGCCCTGGAGGCCGCAGGCCCCGCCCACGTGGCGGGCGGCCCGGAGCGCGGGGCCAGACGACCGCCACACAATGGAGGCCAATACAGGCCTCGAGCGCCCCCGCCGCCGCGAGCCCCCCGCGCCACGAGCGCCGGAAGGTTCCAGAACCGGCCCGCCCGGTGGGGGGAGGGGAAGGGAACGCGGGCTTCGGAGCTTGTCGGGCCGTGGCGGGTACCTCAAACCCCTCTCAACAACTCCACTCAGTAGTCGCGGCCACCCCCAGAGACGAACGGCCCTCACTTTGGGGGTCCCGGCTGTCGCCAGCGCGACCGCAGTTCCACCACACTCACCCGTGGACGCCATCTTCTCTCCCTCCTCGTTCTCTCAACGTCCGTCTCCCTCTCGCTTTTCCTCTAGGCGCCGCACTGCGCAGGCGCGAAACCCGCAACCTCGGGCACTACCATCGGGCCGAGCTACGGGGGTAGGGGAAGGAGGGATGAAACGACCGCTTTCTCGTTCTTCACAACTGCCACCCTTGTCCCGATCCTCTCTAAAGAGCGCTGGATGTGATGCGCGGGCCAAAAAAGCACCAAAGGGGCCGGAGCGCCGGTGAACGGGTCTCGGTATTAAACTGACGCGATTCTCCGCACGAGGCGAGGTTGTTTGGAATGGTTACGTCCTCTGGTTCTAGGGACCGTCTCTAAAGAGTCTGCCCTGAAGAGAAACGGAGGCCGGCAGGAGGGCTGGGGGAAGGGATCTGGGCCGAGAACAACTGCTGACTAATCGGCGGACGGCGGGGGAGGGGGTGGCGCGCGGGCCGGTTGGCCGGGGTTGCGCGCCCAGGGGTACTCGGGGGTCCCGAGTCTCGGCCGGGAACTAGAGTCCCGACTCCCAGCCAGGGGCCCCGCCCGGCCTTCCGGGGTGGGGGCGCGCTCCGCAGTGAGTAATCTGGACGCGTGGCTCGGGCCAGCGGGGGAGGGGGCCAAGGCTGGTCGCCTAAGTGGGAGGTCCCAACGTCAAGCCCGGCCCCGAGGGCCTCCCCCATCCCCGAGGGCCTCCCGCATCCCCCAGTAACAGTCGAGGTGGAGAAGGCCCTTTAATCATCCAATATCCTTGTTTTTACAAAAGGGGAAACTGAGGCCCAAGGAAATTGAGTACTTTCCCAAAGTCATAAAGCTGAGTTCGACCCAGACCCTGAGACCTCCACTCTGTCCATTACCCCGAAGGATCTTCCCCGTCCTTGTCTTCCTATTCTGTCCTCCCAGCATCCCAGGAAGATAGGCAGGGACCGATGGTACACAGGCCCATTTTATAGGATGAAGAAACTGAGGTCCAGAGGGTTTAAGTCCCAGTTCTGTGTGTCCATGGGCAAGTCCTTCACCCTTGCTATAGTGTCCCAGGGAGTAATGGTTGTGGGGGTGCAGGAAGAGGCTTGCAGTGGGTGCCTTGGCCCCAGACCTTTCCTTCAGACTGGATGGCACCTGCCAACCTTCCCAGACCTCAGCCCAACCCCCTAGGTGGGCGCCCAGGCCCAGGGAAGGGCAAGGCTCACCCCAAATCCCTCAGCCGGACTAGTAGCCAAGCTATACTGTCTTTCTTTCAGTGAATATATATAAAGCACCAGTTGTGTGCTGGGATTACTCTGGGGAACCTGGGGAGGAAGGAGTGAGAGGAACCTCCTACCCCTCATGGGCCCAGACCACCTGCCTAGGAAGACAGGGTAAGCTGTGCTCATAAGATAGTTTAAGATCCATGATGTGCGGAGCCAGAAGAGAGGAAGGGAACACGTGAGCTGGGCTTCAAAAGGTGAGTAGGAGTTTGTTAGAATATGGAGAGAAGGACGTGCAAGTAGAGGAGCTTTTGCATATTTCCTGCAGGGAACTGGAAGATATGGAGGATGCCCTTGGCAAGGGAGCAGCTAAGACAGCCTTCTTGTCTCTGGGATCCTGCTTCCTGTCCTAAACCAGCTCAGTGGGGGTCCTGGGACAGAGAAGTCTGGCCAAGGGTAAAGGAGTTCCAGCAGGGCCTAGAGGACAGGCTGGTGGTTGTAAGGATGGAACACAGGGAAGAAAAAGCTTTGCTCTGTGGGCAGAGAATGGCCATGTTTGAGGGGCAGAGCTTGGCTCAGGTAGGCTGGAGCAGCCACCTCCACATTACCGCCTTCTCTTGGTGGGCCAGTTGGTGGCTACAAATGCCTTCCATAATTAGTGGGGATGGCTAAGTTTTGTTGAGCAGTACTCATGGACTGGGGCCTGCCTTAGCCTATTCCTTTTTCCATCATCCCATGAGGAAAGGACTTTCTTAATCCCCATTTTACAGATGAGGAAGGAGAGTCTCAGAGGTTGGGAAACTTGTCCAGGGACACTTAGCAGAAAGAGGTAGAGCAGATGCTGGAAACTTCCTGTGAAAAGGGAGGCTAGGGCCAGAGGGGCTGTGCTCAGGACTGGGGAGGAAGGGGATGTCTCAGTCCTGGGTCACTTTGTATAGCTCAGGGTGTGGGACTCCTGCTGCCCCACCTCCAGTCCTTCTGCCCCACCTTCTCACCCATCTGCTTGCCCACTGCCTGGCCCTGCCCCTTTGGTCAGGGGCAGCTGAGGCCATCTGCAGCTCTAAGGCTGGACACAGTGGAGGGGAGGAAGGAGGAAGGTGGCAGCCTGAGGGAAGGGGGAAGTAGAAGAGGGCTAGAGATGGCATGGCCTTGAATTTGCCCTGGGGGGGCTGTACCCCTCTTTTGGGGAGTCCAGAGCCCCCATTCAACTTCCCTGGCCCTGTCCTCCCACCTGAGACTCCTCTTCAGGATCCATCAGGACTCAGGATTCTTTATGACTGTCCCCTATCTATCCTCACACATGGGCGGGTAGGATGGCAAGATGGCTAATAAGCACATGGGTTAGGGTCTGAGCTCCTTTATGGCCAAGCTCCTGGGCCTGCCTCTTCAGCCTCAGTTTCCACCTCTGTAAACGGGAGCTGTTGGTAAGGTAGTTGAGAGGGAGTCAGTGAGATATAATTTGCAGTAATAACTGTTGTTATTGTTTTCCTTTACTCCTAGCACACCGCCCCAGGACCACCCTTGACCACCTTCAACCAAGCTATGCATGCCAGGGAGCTCCCTGGCCTATTGTACCTGGCGCTACCTCTTGCCTCCTCAGTCCTGATGCTGCTGATGAGCAGCCTGTGGCTGGTGGGGGCTGGTCCCAGCCTCACCCTGGCCCCGGAGCTGCTGCTGGACCCCTGGCAGGGTGAGGGCCAGCCACATGGACCTTGGAGGAGGCAGATTTGCTGTAGGGCCTGAGACCACTTGGTGGAAGCAGTGTATGCCTTGCAGGGGTCAAGCAGGGATAGAACCCAGTGCAGTGGGGAAGGTCAACCCTAGACAGGAGCATGCCCAGCTCATCCCCAGCCTAGAAGGGAGGGCAGAGGACCAGTAGAGGGGCCAGCAGGGTAGGGGCAACCTGTGTGTAGGAGTTCCAGCTTTCCCTTGAAATAAGAACTAAGTCTTTCAGCTAAGCATGAAGTTGGAGAGGAGGTACAGGGGGTTCTAGGAGTGAACCCAGCTGAGCACCTGTTTCCTAATAACAATAGCTCCAATTTACATTTGAGGAACTCCAATGATGCTCAGAGGTTAAGTGATTTATCTGAGGTCACACATCTTTTTTTTTTTTTTAAAAGATGACCGGTAAGGGTCTTAACCCTTAACTTGGTGTTGTCAGCACCACGCTCACCCAGTGAGCCAACTGGCCATCCCTATATGGGATCCGAACCCACGGCCCTGGTGCTATCAGCACCGCACTCTCCCGAGTGAGCCACGGGCCAGCCTTGAGGTCACACATCTTGGGGGACTTGGGGATAGCTCCAGGATTGAAGCAGGCAGTCATTCCCTCAACTGGGTGTGAAGGATTCAGTAAAATGTATATGAAACACCTTCATGGTGCCTGGGACATACTGAGTGCTCAGTGGTTGGTTGCTAGTGAGAAGGCTGAGTGGTGGGTCAGGCTTGTTCTGTTTAACACAGCACAGAACCAGCTGTAGTGTTTGGAAGCCCTTGGTCCCCTCTACCAGTGATTAAGTGCTGGCAGTGGGCAGACTGGTTCCTGGGGAGCTCAGCAGGTGGCCGTGGTAGAGGGTAACTCCCAACCTGGCACCCCCAGGACAGCCTTGGAAGTTGGGGCCACTATCCTGGCATATAAGCCCCTTCTCTCTCCCAGTGCACCGGCTGCTGACCTATGCTCTGGGCCACACAGCCTTTCCGGGCCTGCTCCTGAGTCTGCTGCTCCTGCCCACTCTGAGCTGGCGGCAGGAGTGCCACCTGGGCACACTGCGGTTCCTGCATGCCTCTGTTCTGCTTGCCCTGGCCACTGGGCTGCTGGCTGTGCTGCTGGCAAGCCTTGGGGTGTCCAGTGCAGCTGGTGGCTGTGGATACATGCCCGTTCACCTGGCCATGCTGGCTGGGCAGGGTCACCACCCTAGAAGGCCCAGTGGGGCACTGTCACCATGGCTGCTGTCATGGCTGCTGCTCGCCCTGACACCACTGCTCAGCTCTGAGCCACCCTTCCTGCAGCTCCTTTGCGGCCTCCTGGCTGGCCTGGCCTGTATCCTTTGCCTGAGTCCAAGGCCTGTGTGGACATGTGAGTTCTGTGGCAGGGCCCCCGCGGTGCCTGGGATGGAAGTGGCATAAGGGGCTCAGGCTAAGCAATGCCAAGAAGCTGTGCACACATTCCAGAAGCATCACCAAGTCCCCCTCTGGGCCAGGCTCTGGGCTGGGGACTCAGGACTCATGGCCAGGTGGAGGTGCCAATGACCATTTAAAGGGCTCCATGGGAAGCCTAGAAGGGCTGAGGTGGCCCGAGGAGGCACTAATCTGGACCTCTCCATGAAGGTGGCTCTTGAGCCACCTTAAGATGTGCAGGAGGAGGGGTTCGTGTGAAAAGTGGGGGAGGGCCATGCAGAGGACGCTCAGAGTGCAAAGGCCAGGCGTGGGAGCAAACATGGGGCTGTCTGGGAACTGGCCAGTAGTCCAGGTGCCTTAAACACTGGCTTTTGCTCCAAAAATGCTTAATGCCTGTCGGGGAAAACAGTGACACCAGAGAGAACAGGCTGACTCCCTCCAGCAGTCATCCTGGCTTTCAAGGGAGCCTGTTTCAGACTGGGGACACTAGCTGCCCAAGCTGTCTGAATGGGGAACTTGTTGGCCTGGCTCAAGGTGAGAGGGGGTGTGTCAACGGGACTTCTTCCTGAAAGGGTGGGCCTCAAGTCATGGACCCAAGCAGGCACACAGGGCTCTAGGAACAGTGGGTCAGGGCGGTGGCTGAAGTGGGGGATGAGGCCAGGTTTTGGGATGAGACATGTTTGGCTCTACCTCTTGAACTAGGTAGCTTCGGGCAGGTCCCTTTTCTTCTCTGTGCATCTGCTGCCAAGTAGGGTGGTGACATATTCCTTGCAGGGCTGTAGTGAGAGGACACATGGGAATGCCCAGCACACACTTGGCATGGGTCCTAGCATGCAGCATGGGCACCCCCTCCTCCTGCTGGTTTTGGTTTTCCTTGACCAGCCGCCCTGCTCTGGGCAGACAGACGCAGCAGGGGCCTTCCGGTGGCTGGAGCTCTCGGATCGGCGGCTGCAGGCTCTGCAGGAAGGTGTCTTGTGCAGGACCCTGGCAAGGTGCTGGCCACTGAGGCTCCTTCCCACCCCGGGCAGCCTGACTGAGCTGCCTGTCACCCATCCTGCTGGAGTGAGGTGAGGGGACGCCCTGGACTCTGCCCTGGTGTGAGAGTTGCAGCAGTGGCTGGCAGTCAGGCCCTCTTCCTTCTGCTCCTGCAGGTCTCCCACCACCGGATCTCCATATGTGGCTTCCCCCAGTCTCTGGTCCCACAGTGGAGACTCAGCCATGTTCCCACCGGGCCTGGGGCCTGAGCCCCTGACCTGGGATCGCTCCTTAGAGGTGGGCCAGGACAGGCCCAGGTCCAGCTTCCATCCAGGGACCCCACTGTGGGCAGCCCTGGACGAGCAGATGCTGCAGGAGGGGATCCAGGCCTCACTCCTAGATAGGCCAGCCCAGGGGCCCCAGAGCCCACTGTGGCTGCCCAAGTCTTCCGTCTCCTCTCTGCGGTAAAGTGGTGGTGGGGGGTGGGAGGGCATCCCCTGGTGTGAGGGTGGGGGCATCCCTGACACTCTCTCCTCTGTCCCCCTTCCCCTCCCCCACACTCCCCACAGGCTGCAGCAGCTGGAGCGCATGGGCTTCCCCGTGGAGCAGGCAGTGGTGGCACTGGCGGCCACAGGCCGTGTGGAGGGTGCTGTGTCACTGCTGGTTGGAGGGCAGGTGGGCACCGAGGCCCTGGTGACCCAGGGGAGAGGTAGGCCTGCCCACCCTGAGGGCCCTGGGCCCCCCTAGCCCAGGAAGAGGCTGGGGGCACAGGAGTCCCTTAAGTGATGAGGCCTGGCCTAGGGGCAGTCAGCTGAGCCCCTGCTCTGTCTACTTAGGGCCACAGTGCTGGGGGCAAGAAAGTTCCCCCCAGCATGCTGCCCTGGTACTTGTTTAGAATAAAAACCAGTTCATTTTTCAACCTGGACCTCCTTAGAGGCAGCATTGTATCTACTCTTCTGTGTTGGCATCAGGGGGATGAATGAATGAATGAGCAATGAATGAATGACCAATTACTAGAGAGCAGCTCCTTGATGTCTGGAGATACAGGGTTCCTGTTCCTGCACTGTGCAGCCTCTTCTAGGAAGTCCTCCAGTGCTGGGCTTCTGCTGGGCTGGAACCTCTGTCAAGGAGCATTCCTCATCAATTTCCAGCTAATTTCTATCCATCCTCAGGTCTCAGCCTAAACAGGCCCTTCCTGGCTGCCCCCATCTTAGCACACACTGAGACCAGGCTGGCTGGGAATCAGGTAGGGGCCTTTATTGGCCAGTATACATTTACCTCCTGGTGTCTGTCAAAGCATCTGTAGGAACAAGTGGCCCCTTCTTCTCCATGTCCCCACTCCCCACCTGGGGCACTGGGGAGGGGCTGGGGGATCAGGGGGCAGAACTGAGGCAAGGAGCCCCTGAACATCCAGTCAGCATGACCTCAGGGTTGGGAACCCAGCACCAGAAAACAAGGAGAGGAGGGATGCAAGGAGACTCCCCAAAGTTTGGCTGGGAAAGCGGGGAAGTGAGACTGCCTCCGCTTCTCTGTTATCCCTGCATGTGCTGAGGGCCAGGCAGAGCTCCAGCTCCAACTCCCTCCATGCCTTTGGGCCTGGATGCTCAGATGGCTGATGAGAAGACAAGAAGTCTCCACCCCCTCCTTGAAGGCCTACATCACCCCACTTCACAGAGGGAAACTGAGGCCCAGGACCCTGAGTGAGGCCTTGCCTTGTGCCTGGACTGCCGCCTCCCTCTCAGGCCCCAGTCCCTGCTCAGCCTCAGACATATATTGGGTGCCAGGACTGAGACCTGCCTACCCCTAAGGCCTAGATGGCAGAAGGGACCCTGAGGATGTTAATAAATATGGAGGGGCGGTGCCTGGAGGCAGCTGGCCAAGTCCAGGCTGGGAAGGGAAGCCTGGCCTGGTCTACCCTGAGGGGCCGCCACTGCCCTCAGCCTCTCTCATTCCGGCTCCTGGGGGCCACGATCCGGTAGTTGGCTGCGTGTCCTCCCCTCTTGCCCCGAAGGAGGCTGGGAGTGCCTGTACCGGCAGGGCCTGTCCCGGACCCCAGCTCTGGTTCTGTTGAAGGGAAGGAAAAGGAGAGAGACCACGTTAGGGGAGTCCATGTGGGGTGCCCACCTCCCCTTGGCCCTCTAGGGGGTGGTGGGACTGGGTACCTTCTGCAGGTGCAATCCACCCTCGTGTCCAGGAGGCAGAGCTGTGGGAAGGAAGGGGGTCTGCAGGCTGGTTAGTGTCTTCCCCAGGACTTATCAGCCCCAACCCCATGAGAGCACTCAGAACCTCTTTTTGATTCCTGCTTTGTCAAGTCGGGATAACCAGACCCACCACGTTTATGAAACAGCACATGGTGAAGGTTCCATAAAAAGTACAGTAGTTTTTTTTTCCTATTCCTCATTTTGGGATGGTACCCTGAATCATCGCTATTTCGTAGCTGTGTAAACTGAGCCTAGGGAACAAACGCTGTCTTTCTCTCCTTGGGCTAGGCCACCAGTTGGGGAAAAGGGCTTACAAGGGCCAGGCTCTGCTACTGGCTTACAGTATAGCCTTGGGCAAGATGGAAGACTTGGGTAGCCACAATGGGCTCTGGGGCCCCTGGGCTGGCCTATCTAGGAGTGAGGCCTGTCAGGGCTTCAGTTGTCTCATCTCTAAAATCAGGGACATTTCCAGATAGGCTTTGAGGTCCTAGGCAGCTCCAACAATTATTGAAGTTAGTTCCAATGAAGCAATGGTGAGATATGCCCCAATCTCACAAGCTGTACCCCAAGAATGAAAATGAATAATTGGCATCCTTGCCACCTGGAAAACTCCTACTCATCCTTCAAAACCCAGAGCAGGAGCTACCTCCTCCAGGCAGCCTTCTACATGTCTACCACCTCAGTCCTTTTCATTGTTAACAGTCAGAAGGGCAGTCAGAGGATGGGCTGTTTTTCTAGAGGGAGAGGCCCACTCAGGGAGGAGAGCTCCAGGATGGAGGACTGACTGAACCTCAGCCCTGTTCACAGGACAGATGCTTGGACTCTGTTGAGCACCAGCTTCCCACAGGGGGCACTGCTGGGGAGTGGGCTAGACCCTGGTAATCATAACTGCCAGTGCCCTGACCCCACGTGCCCCTTCTTCCCATGTACCTCTGGGCCCCCTGCAGCAGACAGGCATGTGTTGTCACTGTAAGAGACATTCCATTCCCTAAATCAGGGAGCATGGGAGAAGGGTGGCACAGAGCCCCAGCTCCAAAACCAGCCATTATCAAGTCCTGGCCCCACCATGTCTCAGTTATGTGGTTTGGGCAAGTCACCAACTTCTGAGCCTCATCTGGAATGTGATAATACTCCATTGTCACACCCTTGTGATAAATGTGTTTAACGTGACCAGGAGTGGAAAGTGGTTTCACAGTAAATGCTGGATTATTACAGTTACTAGGTTGGCGTGGCTTCGAGCCAGGTCTCCTGTAGGTCTAATCACTGTGAGTTGCTCACAAGATGCTATTCTGACATCACTCTTGGGACTCTAGGTTTCCCTTGGGCTCCACTCAGTGCCTGTCTGAGCGGAGGTGTCAGCAAACCTTTGCTGATGGAGACAAAAGAGCCAGCACTTCAGAGGACAGACCTAGGGTGGGCCCTTGACTTTTCATTGCTATCCCTGTGGCCCCGAGGGAGTCTTTTGAACCCTCTGAGCCTCTGTTTCTTCATCTGTAAAAGGTATGGTATCATCCACCTAGCAAGCTCATTGTAAGGACTGGAGATGATCAGAGTGAATTTGCCAGCTCAGGTAGGCCAGACATGCTAGCTGTTACTATTATCATCATTATTGATTATAACCCAAACACGAGCCACATTTGGGTCTTTAGTTAGTGCCTGCTGTGTATGCTGGGCCAACAGGGAGGGTCCCATCTCTTTCTCTGTTCCCCACTCCCGCACCTCTCCTTCCAGGCCCCAAGCCAAGCTGGCTTGAGGGGCCACTCTCCACTGACAGTGGGCGTAGCCCTTCCCAAGTATCTGGTACTTCTCGCTGGGCATCAGAGACAGAGCTGACTGAAGGCAGAGAGGGACAGATCCAGGGCCACAGTGGTCCAAATGTGTCCCTTCTAGTTCCTGTCCCAATCCTCCTCAGAGAGCAGGTGAGGGACACCTAAAAAGGTGCTGACAACCTGAAATTTGGTCCTTGGTCCTACTCCGTAAGAGGGGAGGAGGTCTGGGAGATAGTTGCTGATGTTTCTAGAAGTTAGGGAAGCCATGTAGCACAGTGAGAGGGGCTTTTGAGCAGACTGTGCACTTTCCAACCTCTAGACCTTTGCCCATGCGGGACTCTGTCGGGGCTGCCCTGCTCACCTTCTCCACCTGGCACACTCATAGGGATCTTCCATGATGCAACACAAGGGTCCCCTCTTCCAAGAAGTCTTCTCCACCTCCCAGCGAGAAGTGACTGCTCCTCACCCACAACCTTGGGTGCTCCCATACCCCGTATATCTATAGATACTGAGGATTTCCCACCACTTGATGGGCAGCTCCCCAAGGCAGGCAGGTTCACCTATCTGCTCTCCAGAGCCCGGGCATCCACCCAGGCCTAGCACTCAGGAGGTGCTCCCTATGGTTCTGCTGAATGAAGGAGGCCTGCCTCTAACGACCCTCCTTCCCGCTTGGGGCCTCAGTTTCTCCATCTGTAAAATAGATGCAAGGTTGAACATGATGTCGAGGCCTCTGTGCACTGATGTGCTCACTGGGCTGTGAGCTGGCGGGGGCTGGAGGTGCACGAAGGGCAACTGTTGGGGCCTCTTAGCAGGTAGGTAAGGAAGGGAGCCCAGCCCTTTGGGTGGCCAATCCCTTCCTCTCCAGGGCCAGCCAAGACTCCAGTTTAATGAAAGACCTCCTCAGCCTCACCCCCAGGAGCCAGATGCAAGGAGTGGTACTGCCCACCTGGTGTCTAATCTCCTCCTGTGCCACCCCAATCTGCCTTCTAGGACCTTCTCAATTTGGCCCCTGCCAGATTCTCTAGCCTTGGCTCTCACTTCTCAGCAACCTTGAAGAATAATCCCTCAAGGCTCTCTCTGGCCTCTTAGCCTTTGCTCATGCTGTTCCTCTGCCTGTTCACTTTCCCTTGATCCTTGCCCTTCAGGTCTCCACTTAGACATCACCTCTTCCAGGAAGCCCTCCCTGAGGCCCTCTCCCCACAGCCTGGGCTAGAGGCACTTCTGTGCTTCCACAGCTGTATGGACTCACTCCATTGTGGTATATCTCACCTCGGGTTTCACTGCTAGTGCCAGGGCTCTCCCCAGCACCCTAAGCTCCATGAGGGTAGGGCTCTGTCTGTCTTATCTGTTGGAGCCTGTGCCAGGAAGGTGCCTGGCACAGCGTGTGCTCGTCCACATTAGAACTAGTTACCAGAGCCTTCTCTGTGCTAGGCACCATCTGCTGGATGGATGGAAGGATGAAGAATGAGTGGCCACTGGCCTGGCCAAGCATTGGGAGGCACCTTCCCAGGCCCTTCCTGGAGGGAGCTGTCCCTGGCTGCCCACCCTGCCGTTACCTGGCCAGATGATGGCTTCCAGCAGGGTGACCCGTCGGGCCAGGAGCTCCAGCTGAGCCTGCTGCTGCAGGAAGCTCTGTAAGCTAGGAGCCTGATGGGAAATGGAGAAGAGCAGGTGGTGCAAGTCTGGCCTCCGAGGGCTGGGCTGGGGAGCCAGAGGGGGAGGAAGGGAGGGCAGGTGCCAGCTGGCTGCAGGGCAGGAGCCTGGCTCAAGTGACCAGATGGGTGGGGAATTGCTGGATAGATGTCTGGGGTGAGGGTTTAGCTCTCTTGGGCCCCTAAAGGGTCTGGCTCTCTTCTGACCCTGCAGGACAGGTTAAGAGGACCAAAGAGGGAACTGCAAGGCTTCCACCTGGGACCTGGAGGGCGTGCCCTGTAAGAGCCTCTGGGGCTTTATGGGGGGAGGGTCAGAACTCGTAGGTGGTGTATTACCGAGAGTCCCCTGGGGCCTGAGCCTGGCTCTGTCACCCACAGTCCCCTGCACTTGGGGATTCTAGCTCCCTGACCTATTGTCCTGTGGGCCTGGAGACTGTCTCTGTCACCCATGATTTCTATAGAGCTGAAGCCTGACTAGAGTCTGGATCCATTACCCACAATCCTCCTGTGAGCCTGGGCTCTGACTTTATTACCCATGATCCCTGCAATACTGGAGTCTGGCTCTGTTACCCACAATCCCCTGCTCATCTGGAGTTCGGTTTTATTGCCTATAACTTCTTCCTAAGTTAAAATCTGTCACCTCTGGTTCCCTGAAGTCCTGGAAACCACATTACCCACAATGCCCGGAGGCCCAGCTCTGACCACATGGGTGGGGCCCAGGTTTCTAGGCCCCACTTCATCTGTGAAGGAGGGGGCCGGTCATTGAGAGACGGGTGGTCTTGGGCTCTCAGGGCCACACTTGCCCGGGTCAGGTACCTTCTCCAGCCTCGTGACTGGGCTCAGGCCAGTTCCACCCCAGGAAGGCTTGGGGAAGGCTGGCAGGCAGGGGCTGGGCTGTCCGTCTGTCTGTCTCTACTCACCATAGAGCCCAATCATTGTTTCCAAGATTAAAACCCTCTCAGCTAAAATCTTCAAAGCCTCGCGTAGTTGGTGCAACCCCTCCCCCTGCGGAGGAAAGAGACAGATGCAGCCGTGAAGGGGGCAAAGGAAGGGGCCCTGCAAAGCCTGTTGGTGGCCCATGCCCCACCCGGGACATGCACCTGCAGCCCCACACCACCTGCCACAGCCCAGGGCCCATGGACAGCCAGAACAAGACCAGGAGAGGATAGGGGTCATGGGGGTGGGGTGGGGGCGGGGACAAGGCAGGCAGAAGCAACCCCTGAAGGACCTTTCAGAAAGTCCTATTGGATCCCAGCTGGATGCTCTCCCCTACCCCACTGCAAATCCTGCTGCGCTGGAGGCAGGGGGATGCCAATCGCAGTGGCAGAACTGCTGCCCCAGAGCCTGCCACGGATCCTGCCACAGAGCCCGCCTTGGAGCCCACCCTGCCTCTGATCTCTGTTGCCCAACACCAGTTGCTTTCACATCACCGGCACGATTCCTGCCACATCCCAGGGCCACCTATACCTGTGTTGATGTCATATTCTTTTAATTCACTTTTTACCTTAAATGACCATGAGCCTCACCCTAATTAAGTTTACCAGTGAAATCAGGCTATTTACCAATATTTCCATTCACGCCAAAATGAATGTATGCTGGCAAAATCAGAAAACGTTTGCATGGCATCACTGTTGGGGAAGCTGTTTAAAATGCTGGCTCAGTGCCCCTTCCGCAGCCCTTTTCACTTCGGGCTCCCTTCCAGGAAAGTAGTGTTCATCCCTCCCAGGGTTCTGACTATGCTAGGTTCATATTCTGGCACGTCCTGGTGCCCCGTCCTCAGCCCAGGCCTCTCCTCTAAGCAGCACCAGTCTGCATCTCTGTGCCTCCAGCTTCCAGGCCCCAGAAATGTGGCAGCAGGGCCACAAAGCCCCTCCTCCAAGACCTCCCAGCTCTGGGGTTCCCTAGTCCACAGGCAATGCCAGCTGCTGCCCAGGGCTCACGCCAGAGGTGTCACCAGCCAGCACTCACCTTAACTTCCTCCCAATCTGTCCTTTCATTCCCCAGCACAGGGTCCACATTCTTGCCAACACTCCTCCTTCCCTCCCTCCTTCCTCTTTCCTAGTCCAGACCAAAGCTATTTCTGGAATGTAGATATCTCCATTCCAACAAAGTACCAGGATGGCAAGCAGAAGTATCCCAGCCCTGACAACATCTGGAGGTCTCTCTTAGTGTCCTTTACTCAAGACAGATAAGTGAAGGGGTCTATAATATACACACTTACACAATCCAACCCTATAAGGTAGTTGTTCCCTACAAAAACATCTAAACAACCGAGGGCCTCCCAACATGTTCATTAGGAGCAACCTGCTCTTTGGGACTGTCTGTTATGAGCCAGTTGTGTCCACTTTATGTGGATTGGGCTACCCTCAGGCCACCAAATGGACATTTCAGCCTGGGGATTCCAGGATCACCATGGGCTGCATATCAAAGTAATCCTTCTTTAAGTATTACAGGAGCAGGAATGGATAACCTTCAAAAATTATGTTAAGCCATTCCCGGCACAGACAGTGGGACCAGCTGACATTATGAGCTTCCCAATGTGTGCAATAAAAGGGCACCATGTCCCCCACAAGTGCTCCTGCCAGGAGTATTTAACCTGCATCTCATCATGAAGAAATAATCTTATAAATCTAGACTGTGGGACATTCACAGAAAGACAAAGTCAAGAGAAGAAAAAGGCAGAGGACCTGTTCTAGATTAAAAGAGACCGGAAATGTGACAAATAAATGCAATGTGTGAGCCTTAATTAGATCTTGGACTTAAAAAAAAAAAGAGCTTTAAAGGTATTTTTGGGGACAACTGGTCAAATTTTCATATGAGTTCTATACGAAATGGCATCATATTGCTGCATTTATATTATCTTTCTTAGGTGTGACAGTGGTATTGTGGTTTTTGGGAGACTGTCCATATTCTATCAAGGTGCACACTGAAGTTTTAGGAGAGATGTGAATGAGGTTTGCAGCTTACTTTCAAATGAATTAGAAGAAAGATCTATAAATATATAAAGGGAGAAAGAGTGAATGTGGCAAAATACTAATGATTGGTCAACCAAGAGGAAGGCAAAAGGATATTCATTGTACCAACGTCACCGTATATTTGAAAATTTTCAAAACAAAAATTGGGAGGAAGGTATTTTAAAAACCTCACTGTTTGGACTCCCTCCCAAATGGGTGGCCTACTATTTGCATGATGACTCCCCAGTCCCCTCCCAGCCTGACCTGCTCTGTGTTTTGGATCTAAGTATACAGGGCCCGCTGGACACCCCTACTCATCTGTAACACAGACATCTCCTATTTTTCCATGGGCAAAATTTGGCGTGCTTGCTTCTGCTCCTCTCTTTTACTATTGTAAAAGTCTCCCTTGACTCCTCTCTCCCTTTCACAGCCAAACTTGCACACAATTGTCTCTTAGCTCCACTGATATCTGTCTGTCCTCACTACTCCCACCCCCAGTTCTGACCCCAACAGTCTTTCACCAGGATGACCATGACAGCCTCCTGCCTAGTCTCTCTTTTTGCTTCTCCCATGTTACCCCCTTCTTCCATTCATTCTACACATGACAATCAGAGGGATCTTTCACAAACAAAAGTCTGACCATGTCACACTCCTACATATAAATACTTCAGTGACTCCCCACTGCCCATAGGACAAAGTTTAAATTCCTTAATATGGCCTCCTAAATCCTGGAAGCTTCTTTGGCTTCTATCTTATTCCTTGCCTATCATACTGCCACTCCAAGTATGCGCAGCTCCTCAGGTATTTGCAATACTCTAGGCTCACTCTTGCCCCAGGGCCTTTGCACATGCTGTTCCCTCTCCTTTGCCTGAATACCCTGTGTCTGGTTAATGCACCTTTCAGGCCTAGCCCTTCTCCTCTGGGAGAATGCTAAAGCATCTTCCATCACAGCTGAACTCCCTCTGTCCTGTGGCTTCTGGTTACAGGTCTTTTTTCCCCTATGCCACTGTGACCACTCTGAGGGTAGGGACTGTGTCCAAATCATATCTGTATCCACAGTGTACAGCAGCAGGCCTGGCACCCACAAAGGAGGTGCTTGGGGAATGGTAGCTGGTTCCCTGGGCCTGAGAGCTTAAAAGCCTGGGCTTCAGTTCCAGCTCTGCCAAGGATTTGCTCTGCGGAATTGGGGCTCAGTTTCCCTGTCTGAATAAGGGATGAGAGCTTTGATGTATCTAGACAGGCTGGCCCAGCCATCACTCCAGTTCCTGCAGTGCTCTCCCATGACCACCAGGTGTCACTGCCCAGCCAAAGCCAGACCAGCATCTCTGAAAGATGTACCGGGGGCAGGGGGGAGTTGATGGGTGGAGTGTACAAAGGACCCCTCTGGGACCTTTCCAACACTGAACCCTACCCCCACCTACCCCCAAAAGACATAGTCCACCAGCCCCTAATGCCTCATGCAACCCCCAGCCCAGCGAGATCCCTCCCAGGCAGGCAGCAAGCAGTGGCAGAAGTGCAGGTGGACGTGGGGGAGGAAGATGTGTGGGCAGAGGCCCTGCTACCTCTAGGGGGCACCTCCTACAGGTGGTCCTGGGTTTGAGGACTGGTCTGGGGTAGTCCAGGCATCCCGTTCCCCTGCCAGGCGTCCCCATGCAGGGACAGGACTACCCAGCCTAATCCGGCCTTGACCTCAACTTTCCCACCTCTCCTAGGCAGGGTGGAAAATGTGTTCTCAGGCTGAGGGTCTCTGGGAAAGGCCAGTGAGGGGCCTAGGGAAGACAGAGGGCCAGGTTCACATGGGTCTACCTAACCCCCAACTCAGCTCATGCCCATAATGGCAGTATTCTTAAGAGGTAAGATGGGTAGTGCGGGCCACAGAAGGGGGCCGGGAGAGGCTTGCTGGAGAGGTAGCAGGGCCCCAGAAGTCATGGGGAGACATGGGAGAGGACTCGTGCAGGATGGGGGGCTCCCACGGCTGAATCCATCACTGACCCCACAATCAAGAACTAAGGGGCAGAGCAGGTGCTGGGTGCCACCCTCATCCTCACTATCCAGTGACTGCCAGGAAGTAGGGCGTCCCAGCCAGACTGCATGGGGAAGGGGTGGTGGGGAGGAAGGCAAGATACCATCCTCCAAAAGAGCTTCCCAGGTGTCTCTCCTGTAGGGGTGTCTGTCCCCACCCTGTCCATTTTCTAAACGTCAGCAACAGTTTCCAGGTCCCCACACTGTGGGCCTTTTGGTCATAGTGTGTTCTAGGCTCCTGGTCCTTCCCTGGTGTCCTTTAGGTGAGTAGATTTCTAGGCCCTGAAACTCATTCACTGCAATTATCTCTAATGATTTTGAAGGTTTCTAGGAACCCAAGTTAATCATGGCATTCTTGGGTGTGTAGTTTCTAGGTCCCCTTTCTCATTTACTCTGTCTCCTATGTATGTGACAGTTTCTAGGCCCCCCTCCTTCTCACTTTTCATGGGTTTCATTTGCATATAGCAATGTCTAGGACCCTCATCCCATTTTCCATGATTCTGCTGTGCATGTGACAGTTTCTAGGCTTCTCTTTCCATTCCTCATGAGTCTCCAATGGATGTCATGGTGTCTAGGACCTTGTGTTAGTTATATGTCTTTTGAGTATAGTGGAGTCTAGGTCTCCTAACCTCAGTGACCATGCCAAATGTATACATAATGGTTTTGGGGCCTCCCTTCCCATGCTTTGTGGATTTCCTATGTGTACAGTGGTGTCTAGGTTCCCTGTCCCTTTTACCATGGGGTTCCTATGTACCTCACTGTTTCTAGGCCTCCCTTCCTCTGCTTCATGGCTTTCCTAAGTTCTCCTGTCCCATTCTTCTATGCATATTGTCTTCATCCTTCTCTTTCTTCTTCAGTCAGGGGAGCAGAAGCCAAAACCCTTGCTAGGAGGGGGCTATAAAAGGCAGGGGATGCAGTCTGGCCTGGGTTAGCCCAAACCGCCCAAGAAGAGAGGCAGAGCCACCCTAGCTTTGAAAGGCCACAGAGGGAAGGCAGAGACAGGGACAAAGACAGAGACAGAGAGCATGGGGACTGCTGATAGGGCTGGCCCTGCCCAGTTGAGAGTGACAGGATGGGGGAGGGGTTGGGCTGTGAATTGCCAAGGCTCCTGCCTAGGAGACCAGGCTGCAATGGGGATGTGGATGGAGTGCCCCTACTCCCAGGGCTTAATGGTGAAAGAATACTCTCCTGAGCACCCAGGGCAGGAGGCAGAAGGCAGGGGAGCCCAGTGCTGGGCCAGAGCTTACCCAGTGGCTCTTCTCACCAGGGTCTCCCTTGGGGCCAGGTTCTCCCTGCAAGGAGGACAGATACAGAAGCAGTGAGCGAGAGAAGGAGAGAGAGATGGAGGCAGGGAGGGAAGGAAAGAGGGAGAGAAAGAAAGAGGGAGAGAGGGAAGGAAAGGGGGAGGGAGGGAGGGAGAGACACTTAGAGAAATAGAGGCAGAGAGCAGCTTGTATTGGACTAACTGGATAAAATGCAAAAAACAACTGTTTGAAGGCAATAGAAAGTGAAAAAGAGCATCCAGAAACTGGAGGATATTCCACCCTTCACAGAAGGGAACCACACTGAATAAAATCCATATATTTATGGCTTTTCCTCAGAGGTTACACGCCAGACCCCTCAGCCTGGCACACAGAACTCAAGCAAAAAGCTTCAGTTTTACTGGTCTGAGGAGTCAGAGGTTAAGAGTTGAGGCTGGCAGAGAAGTGGGAAACTGAAGGGAAATACTGGAAATCAGGGAGCCACAATGGGGGAACAAAATCTGCATTAATGCTCTCCTCTAATTCTGGATGATTGTCGAACTGGGCAACACTCCAAGGAGCCCAGGGGAGAAACAATGTGTTGACAGATCTCAGCACAGATTTCGACAATTGCCCACCACACAGAAGACAGAGTTTGGAGTTCAAGTCCAACCAAGTTAGAGAGGCTTGTTAACAACTGAGGCTTTCTAATGAAACTCCAGAAAAACCATGCCTTAGGAATAAAGACCACATCCCAGGACTAAGGAATCTTTCTAGGACCAAGAGCAAAACCAAAATGAACTTTCTCTGATAAAGCATAGAACTAAGCTTCCAAAAGAGCAAGGCGGATCCATCAGTAATTTAACTATGCTACAACAAAACTCAACACTCTTCAGTAGAAGATAACAGAATCCAGAGTCTCTTCAATATCTTATCTTGTCCAATATGCAATAAAAAGTTACTAGACATGTGAACAAATAGGAGAATGTGATCCATACTCAAGAGAAAACTCAGGCAATAGAAGCAGATCCATAGCCAACTCAGGTGTTGAAATTAGCAGACAAAGAATTTAAAATATTTATAATAAATATGTTAAAGAATCTACTGGAGTTGAGAGAATGTGTGACAGATGGAGAATTTTGAAAAAGATACATAAACTGTTAAAAAAAAAAAGAATCAAATGGAAATCCTGGAAATGAAAACGATAGTACTGGAAGTAATTCAGTAGATGGAATTAACAGAAGATTGGATATAACAGAGGAAATAATTGATCAACTTGAAGGCAAGTCAATGGAATAATTCAAACTGAAGCACAGAGAGGGGCCTGGGGCATGGATCCAGGGACCAGACCCCTATTCCATAACCAGGCACACTGCGCCAGCACCTCAGGGCCCACCCGGGGGCCCAAGGCATGGAGAAGGGGACCATACGCCTCTCCCACAAGCAAGTACACCATGCCAGCACCTTGGGGCCCTCCTGGGGACCCGAGGCATGGAGCCAGGGACCAGACACACCCCACAAGCAGGCACACTGCCAGCACCAAGGAGCATGGCAAAAACATCACCTCCATGTAGGTGGCCCACCCCAGCCACTGCAATAACCATGGCTGCTGTGAAAGCAGCTAGACGCCACAACTACCACACAGATGGTCCACCAACCACTGGAGTGCATTCACACAAGGAGAGTCACCCACAGAAATAAAGAAAAGAAGAGGATGTCTCTCTCCACAAAGCCCATTTCAGAGTGACAAAAGAAGCATCTGCTCTATGATAATATTGGGGGACACGATCACACCTCTCAGTATTGGACAGATCATCTAGGCAACAAATCAACAGAGTAACCATTATTCTTTCAGAAAGAGAGAAGAAATCTAGGGTAATGGGGGCAGAGAGAGATTGGACAAGGGGCATAAAGAATAATTACAATTTGTAACAATATGTATGCTAGTAATATTGATTTGATCAACATATCTCAATGTTGAACCCCAAAAATATGTATAATCAATTTTGATTCAATAAATAAGATAAACAAAAATAAAAAAACAAAAACAAAACAAAACAAAACAAACAACTGAAGCACAGAGAGAAAAAAGATTTGAAAAAATTAACAGAGCTTTGGTGACTCACAGGAGAGTATTGAGTATAAATGGAGTATCAAGTGGAAAAGGAGAGAAGAGACAGCAGGAACAGAAAAAGTATTTGAAGAAATATTGACCAAACTTCTTTCAAATTTGATTTAAAAACAAAACAAAACAGATTTCTGGGTTCCAGTCTGGCATGTAAGGAGCTTGAAGTTGCCAGTCCATCCTAATAACAAGTAAAAAACTGAAGGAAATGAAAAACCAACAGCTCTTCAGATCTGTCAGAGAAATGAGACTACAGGCAAACTGCTGCCCCCCAAACTGGAGAGACAGGCAGGCAAATACAGAGAATCACAACTTACAGGAACAGAAACTCGTGAATAGAAACCTCCATGGGAACCAGTTCCAGGGTAGGAAAAACTAAACTGTAATTGACAAATTTCTGGAGGCTCAGTGTAGACAAGTCTGAGAGTTAAAAAATCCAGGGGGACCCAGTCATAGGCCTCCCCGCCTCCCCAACTCCCTCCACACTTTTGTGAGTTTTACCTCAAGGATCTCTACCAGGTCCTCATGGTGAATATCAGAGAAAAATACCCTCGTGCTTCCAGCAGGGGGAGGAGAAAAGGAACCATTTTGAAATATGCTAGAGTATTTTGTTCTTAACAAGGACTGTCCTCAGGAGAAACAATTTTTCCACTGGGGTTTTATCAGAGCCTAAACAACCTTGGGCAAGAGAAATACCCAGTTCCAGCTGCCTCTAGTATTCTGTGGGAGAAGGGAAACGCCCAGCTCCAACCTTTCCTAGCCATTCTGTCCTACCTAAGGGGCAAAAAATATCAAAACCAAAAAACACACCAAACAAACAAACAAACAAACAAAACCTCCAAACACTGAGACGTACTGGTGACTTATAGCCCAAGGGCACATACTTACCTAAGGACTGAGACCTAATCACAGTACTATAGAATACTTCCTTTCCCCCACACCTTACCATAACACTAATAAAGATCTATTTACCACAGTTCTTTTTACCTAATACATCATATCTACCTTCCAACAACAAAAAATAAATTACAAGCATACTAAAAGGCAAAAACACAGTTTGAAGAGTCTGAACAAACATCAGAACCAGAGTCAGGTATGGCAGGAATGTTGAAATGACCAGACCAGGAATTTTAAAAACCTATGATTAATATGCTAAGGGAATTAATGGAAAAAGTAGACAATGTTCCAGAAGAGAGGGACTGTAAGCAGAGAGATGGAAATTCTCAGAAAGAATAAAACAGAAGTGCTAGAGATCAAAACGACTACAACAGAACTAAAGAATGTCTTTGAGGGGCTGGCCCGGTGGCGCACTGCTACAGTGCGCTGCTTGCGAGCGCGGTGGCGCTCCTGCCAAGGGTTCGGATCCCACATACAGACTGGCCGCTCACTGGCTGAGCGAGGTGCGGACGCAACACCGAGGGTTGCGATCCCGTTGCCGGTCCCGGTCTGGTACGGGCGCGACACTGAGGGTTGCGATCCATTGCCGGTCACGAAAAAAGACAAAAAGGAAAAAAAAAAAAAAAAAGAATGTCTCTGATGGGTTCATTAGTAGATTGGACATGGCTGAAGAAAGAATCCCTAAACTTGAGGGTATGACAATGAAACTTCCAAAACTGAAATGCAAAGAGAAAAAAGACTGAAAAAAAAATCAAACAGAATATCCAAGAACTGTGGGACAACTACAAAACATGTAAATACATATAATGGGAACACCTGAAGGAAATGAGAGAAAGAAACAACAGTAGTTGAAGTAATAATGACTGAGAATTTTCTCCAAATTAATGGTGAACACTAAACCACAGACCTAAGAAGCTCAGCAAACACCAAGCAGGATAAACGCCAAACAAATCTACACCAAGGCATATCACATTCAAACTTTAGAAAAGCAAAGATAAAGAAAAAATACTGAAAGAAGACAGAGGAAAAAACATCTTACTTATAGAGGAGCAAAAATAAAAATTACAAGGCCGGCCCGTGGCTCACTCGGTAGAGTGCGGTGCTGATAACACCAAGGCCACGGGTTCGGATCCTATATAGGGATGGCCGGTTTGCTCACTGGCTGAGCGTGGTGCTGACAACACCAGGCCAAGGGTTGAGATCCCCTTACCGGTCATCCTTTAAAAAAAAAATAAATAAAAAAAATAAAAAAATAAAAAAATAAAAATTACATCCAACTTTTCCTCAGAAACCATGCAAGCAAGAAGAGAGTGGAATGTAATATTTAAAGTATTGAGAGAAAAAACCCTCACCAACCTAGAATTATTTATCCTGCAAAGTTATCCTTCAAAAATGAAGAGGAAATACAGACTCTCAACAAAAATTGAATTAATTTTTGCCAGTAGACTGCCTTGCAGAAAATGTTAAAAGAACATTTAACATTTAACATCTCTTTTTCAGAGAGAAGGAAAATGACACAAACCAGAAACTCAGATCTCCATAAAAAAGGAAGTGCATGAGAGAAGGGATAAGTAAGTGTAAAACAGAATTTTTTTTCCTTATTCTTTATTGATCTAACAGATAACAGTTTGTTCAAAATAATAGCAACAGTGTATTCAATTATGTATGCTCATGTATATATCCTATATATGAGGGTGTGTATGTATATGTGTATATGTATACATATTTTGTATTATTATTTTAAAAATTTTATTTATACTTATTTTTGTAGGTACATTGTGTTATTTCAGTACATGCATATACTGCACAATGATTCACTTAGTATATACATATATATATATATTTTAAGTGAAATGAATGACAGCAATAATATAAGGGATGGGAGGGAGGAATTACAAATATTTTGTTATTAAAGTTATTTGTACTACCCATGAAGCAGTATAGTGTTACTTGAAAAGGAACTTCAATTAGGTAAATGTATATTGCAAACTGCAGGGAAACAATTAAAAAAGTAAAAAATAAAAGAATT